CTTTTCCTTAATAAGCATATAAAGGAACAGTTCTCTGGGGTACCATCACGTGGTCTGAAATGGAAAAACAAAACTTACAAGCTAAAAACCTCTACTACTTTCCAGTATTATTTTCCTAGTGGACTCTCAGCTTCCGTTACACTACCAGCAAAAATATATTACCCAAGCTTCTAATGAGCTCTTGGATGTACACTTTGTTAGGTTGTTTACATGCACACTTTACGGCTTACAATATATTTTTCCTAATTTTGTACACAGTTGTACATATTTAAAGTTGTTTTTAGGTGTTGGGTTGCAGTAAAGACGCAATTGGTGCTTCAAGATTCTCTGTTCTTGTGAGATTATAGCCTTAGTATTAAGTCTAAAGGCTTACGTTTAAGCTAGTTGTCATTATGAGGCGACGGAGTCAAAGTCGTCACTTATGACCTAATGTAAATCAAAAACCGGAATCGTAATAGATATCGATCGGAAGTGACAAGCTCAACGGAATTGCAATCGGAAAAATCGGAATGTCATTTCCATCTACTTTCAACTCCGAGCACTTTTGTCTCCGTCTATTACCTGCTACTGAAAACCAGTTTATCGGAGTCACGGAAAGCAGTGAAACAATAAACAAATAACAATATTACAAAAACAATGTTGTTGGGATTAAAACACAAACACTGGCATCCTAGAAGTTTAAATTGAAGCCCTGCTTATTTCCACTATTTTGACAATTGGGTATTTATTCACCCGTAATTATCAACGGAAGAGTTAGCGGAATCCCGTCCCTCCTTGCTCCTCGCCCCGCTAGTGAAGGCGAGGAGCGAGGAGCCGGACGTCTGTATTCTTAGGCTAGAGGAATCTGAGAACTGCGTTTCTTCTTAAACATCACTTTCCGCAATTGGTTACCACTCTAACTCCGACTTTTCCTTAGTAAAAACCAGTGTCAAAAGATAACCGTAGCCTCCGACTCAGGGGATGCTTGGAAGGTACGCTGGCTGCATTAAATGGCACGGAAAAAGTTGTTAACTCACCAATATGAAAGTAGACTATACTAATTGTAAGGTAACTTAAGGAAGATTCCTCGTGGGTGCTTAAAGTTATAGGTTAACGTTCTTTCTTTCGTGTTTCCCAATTGCAGTTGCTGCCTTGATCACACAAAAGCCCTCCTCTGTTATCGTTGAAGAAGGAGAAAACGTGAACCTAGTGTGCAAAGCTAGCGGTCTGCCGATACCAACGGTCACGTGGCAAAAACCATTAGGTCACTTGCCAAGAGAAAAGACAACAGTGATCGATGGGAACATGACTATACTACGTGTAACGAAAGAAGATAGGGGGACTTACGTTTGTTCAGTGAAAAATCTCCTTGGAAAGGACTCCGCTCTCGCCCAGGTAACAGTGATTGACAGGCTCAAATTTACCCTAAAACCTCCTTTAAAGTTTACCGCATCTGAGTTCAGCAACCTGATGTTAAATTGCAAAGCCAATGGAGCCCTAGAAATAACTTGGAAGAGGACCAACAAATATCTTCCTCGTACTCATGTTATTTTCCAAAACGGAACTTTGTTTCTCAAGAAGGTGACCACAAATGACGCTGGATTCTACACATGTGTAGCGAAAAATTATCAACGGACAATAATGGCATCGTCTACTGTTGAAGTGTACAACAACCCTTTGTCCTGTAGCAGTATAAAATCAGGCCGCAGTGGAAGCTCTTCAGGAAATTATATTATTGACCCTGATGGCAAAGGAGGCGTGGCTCCGTTCAGTGTGTATTGTGACATGAGTGACAAGGGAGGAGTTGGCGTGACAGTCATAAGTCACGACAGCGAGAGGAGAACACATGTCAGTAATATCCCTGGATGTACGTTTGATCACCCCGGATGTTACCGTAAAGATGTAACCTACAGTGGAGTCAGCACCGCACAATTAACGGCACTCACTCGAATTTCAAAGAACTGTGAACAATTTATCAAGTTTGAGTGCATAGAAGTTGCCTTTGTACAGGACTCACTTGCGTGGTGGGTGTCACGTGATGGAAGGAAAATGAACTACTGGGGAGGAGCTGGTGGAGCAGCCAACACGTGCGCATGCGGAATAACAAACTCCTGCCTAAATGGGCAAAAGTGTAATTGTTATAATGGTGGCAGCGGCTGGAGAGAGGACAGCGGACTACTGACGGACAAGTCTGCTCTTCCTGTGACACAGATCAGACTAGGAGACTTAGATGATTCATATGAGGAAGGTTATCACACATTAGGAAAGCTCAAGTGTTATGGCCTGGCATGACATGCATGAGATTTCATGACTTTATAGAGTGTTTTCACTCACGTGGCCAGCATATATGCAAATCTATTGGAACAAAAGAAAGCGTTTGCATAAGAAAAGAGTTCAACTCCCACAGGACTGGTTTGGGACACCAACATGGCCGCCGTTTCATTGTTTTGGGACACCAATATGGCAGCCGTGACGTCATGTGAAAACACTCTATATTTAACAATTTTTGTCATAAGGCGAACTTATCGTATTTAAAATACGATTATACAGCTACACGCGAAAAGATCGGCTATAATATCTGTAATCAAGCGAGTTCAACAGAGTCGCAAACAAATCTTGGCTGTTAACCCTCAAGTTTCATTTTTCTAATAGATGCTTTTGTCCATCCACTTATATATAGACCGGAGATTACGTTAGAATTTACGAAGGGCTGAGCGACCAGAACGGTCAGTTTTTCTCACTTTTAAACAGCTAGTAGTCTTTTCCTCAAAGCTTATTGACTTAAATCAGGCTCAGTAATCACCTTTTTCATATATTTGTTTAAACGTTTACTATTATAATAATTCTATTTCTTAATCTTTGAAAGGGCAAGAGGACGTAAATTCTTAAAATTCCACCCTATAATATGCCCGAGTAAGCGTCTCTTCTCCCTTCCCTCTTTATTTTTCTTCTTTCTCAACAACTTGGCAAATTTTCATTCAGTTATTGTCTCGGTTTGCAAAGGCTTGACGGAACCAAAGAAAAAAAGCGTAAAAAATTCAAATCTAAAGGAAATTTTACAAGGCTGTTTAGGCTCTATAAAATCGACAATAGCTAATTGAAATGAATTGCAACGAAATTCTTCCGGGAAATGTAATTCCTTTTTTTTCTAGATTTCATTGGCGTTTCATTTATATAAATGAAAAAGCAATATATATAAAATATAAATGAATCAATAAATAAAAAGGTAAATCATATATCTTCTTTCCTTAAGGGGTTTTTTAGTACTATGAAACAAAATCATTCAAAAATGCCAAATTGTAGAGGCAAACCAGTTTGCTATTTTCAAGCGTGTCTCGAGGATTCGTCCTCGGGACTATAATAGAGAGTAAACACAGCTAGCGATCCCGGCGGAACTTAAACTCTGGGCCTCCGGAGCACAGCCCCAGTTTGTTCAAAGGGTATCCACCCTTATCCACTCGAATTAATCTCTATCCAGTGGATAAAAAGCGAAATTGGTTTTCCTAATACTTAGCCACTGGATTTGATAGTGACGTATCCGGTGGATAGCTCCATCCATTACTTTTGAACAACCGGCACCAGAGCTTTTATCGATCGCTCTGCTATACGCAAACTCCCTCCATGCACAAAAAGTGTGACCACTTGAATTAGTCCTTTTTCTGACCAAAACTCGCCATTAAAATGGTGATTTCCGTCATCATGATCTTTTTTCGTAATCAATGTCCATAGGATACCACAGGTCCACAAGCGATCACTGGGCAATAATTTCCTCTTCCCTTTTACCTACTTCGCGGCACTGGATCACGTCAAGTTCGCGCGCATGGAGTGAACTAAATATAAGAAGACTAACCAATTAATCAGGGATTTTTAGCTTCATTTAGCGTGACAATTGCTTGGAAAACAAATTCATTCAATACCCAGGTCCGACCACGTTTCCTTCGACAATCTGATCTCTATTATATTTTTTGTGAGTTCAGTACAGTTGAATCACTTTTGAATATTCTATAGGACATCTCGGTCACTTTTAAAGAGCGTGATTGCATACTTAGTGCAGTTAGATTTCATTATAAAAGAAAGTGAAATTTAGCATTTCTCAAAGTAAAGCAATGAGGCTGTAGTAAAGGCTAAATGTTGTCCACTCACAAATTGGGCGGGGGTTGGGCGGAGTATGAACAAATGTCAAAAGAAAATAACCAACAAATCACTTAATAGGCACCCTTATTTTTTTTACGGCACCCAACTATAGTAGTATAGTAAAATGGGTATCCTGCCTCAGTCTAACAATAATTGTAACGCAAATCTTAATAAATCTAAAATCCCAGATTATGCAAAGGATTACAAAAACGAATATCTTTTTATAAGAGGGATTGATACGTGTTTTAAATTCTTTTTAGATAATCTGGATAAAGCGGATAAGGAAGTATTAGGTAGTGATGATGATAGTGATTATTAATAATCTTCTAACAAATATTTGTTATAAGATTTAATCTTTCTTTGGTCTAACCCCTAGATCCCATAATTTTATAGCAAGATCATAAAATCTTTTTTGTATAGGAGTTTTAGTCATATTTTCTAAAACACTTTCCTCTATATAAAATTGTGATATTGCAGGAAATTCACTAATGAAAGAATAAGGTTCTGTTTCTGAAATTTTAACTTTTTTAATTGTGTTGATACTATTTTCAACTTGATCAAGTGCTTTATTAAATTTATTTATGGAGTTTCTCATTTCAGAACAGCTTACTAAGATACATTCTTTAAAATAAGGAGCTTTTGTATATAGAAGAGAAAGAATAGTATTATCAATTTTTTTTACATTTTCATAGATTTTTTTCGAGGGAAATATTATATCACTTTCTGTAAAGGTCATTTTATTTATCTCTTTTTGTTTTTAAATAAATTTATGGTGGCTAAAAATTAGTATGAAAGTGAAGGTAAAATAACATTAGGGAAATTCCCATTTGATGAGTTGTGTGTAATTAGGGGATTTCCCAACAAAAATAATCTAATCAAATAATAAAATGGAATTCAAGAACGATATTCCTACAAAAGAAGACAAAGATTTTATAGTTGATGATGGTTATAATCATGATGAGGATCCAACATATGAGCCTAAAGATTCCTCCTCATCTGATGATGATAAATATGTTGTTACCGGTAAAGAGTTTAAAAAACTAACCAAAAAGGGTAAAAAACTTGGTGCTGAATCGCTTGATTATTCAACACGCAAAAATAACAAATATGTAGCAACACTTTCAAGTGGAAAGAAAATTCATTTCGAGTCATCACAATATCCAGATTTTTTAATTCATAAAGACAAAGAGCGAAAAGAGAGGTATCTCACTCGAGCTAAAAAGATTAAAAATAAGCAGGGAGAGTTAACTTATACTAATCCTGAATCGGCTAATTTCTGGAGCGTGAATTTACTCTGGCCACAAAAATGATTTAAAGATATCTAGGTATTATATAAAAATGGAAGATTTAGCAGTTTCGAAGCATTATGTGGATGATATTTTATCTAATTTACCCGGAAAATTAGTATCAGGTTTTTATCTTGATAAAATTAATATTGATGGTAAAGAATTTGAGGTTTATAAAAAAGAAGAAAAATATTTAGTATTATTGTGTAAAAATGTTGGTGATGGTATTGCTGTTAATTCACCACTTCCTATTAGATTTGATGAAAAATGGTTACTGAAATTTAGAGGAATGAATTTAACTAGAGGAAGTATTATATCTTATAGTTTTGAACGATTTATTAACAATGATTTAAAAGAATAAAATTATACAATAAAATGCAGTTGTCTAGTTACGATCATCTAACCACAGAGAATATTATTTTTAATGAAGCCAAAGAGTATAAGGTTAAAGATAGCAAGATCAAATACAAACGTATCCCAATTGAAGTCAAATATCCAAATGGAAAGAAAGGAGCTTTGGTAATTGAAACTCCATTTCTTTTCTCTTTTAGCGTGAATGAGAAGAAGAACCAAGAAACAAACAAATTAGTAGGTTATAGTATTCCAGTATGTCTTTGGGCTAAAGATAGTGAGCCGAATACTAAAGAAAAAGCATTTTTTGAAGCTATTAACAATATAACAAATATCTCTCAGCAACATCTAGAAAATGAATACGGCGCCTCAACTCTGTCTTCGCCATTTTATTACAAACAGGAAGAATATACAGATAAGAAAGGAAAGAAGAAAACAAGAATAGACCCATCATCCGCACCAGTTCTCTACGCAAAACTTATTTACTCAGAAAAGTCTAAAAAAATTCTTTCCCTATTTAAGACAAAGGGAAAGAAAGATTTAAATCCTCTTAGATATATTGATCAGTACTGTAATGTACGCATGACACTGATAATCGAAGGAATCTTTATAAGTAAGACTGTTACATCTTTACAAATAAAAGTACATGAGTGCTATGTCAAACCATTAAAACCTCGAGAGTCTTTACTAACAATTAAAGAGGAAGATGAGGAGAGAGATCAAAGTGAGAGTGAAGAATTAGTTATCTCTGATGAAGAAGTAACTGAGTAATATTAGGATTTATTTTTAATACAAATTTTGTATTAAAAATCAACCAAATCCTTAGAACTCACCCATGAGTTAAATTTCTCAGGATATCCACTCCATTTTACTAATACCATCTTTTTCTTATTATCTCGTCTGATAACCTTTTCTATTCTAAATGTTTGCTGTTTTGCTCTCTGTAATTCTTGCTCGTAAAAAGAACCCTTAATCTCTTCTCCTGTCAAATCAACGATGCTATATGTAACAGGTTTTGTTGGTATAACTTTATCAATTACAAATATCTCCTCTGTCCAGTTTGGTGCGTAACCCTTATCAAATACTTGCCTTTTATATTTTGAAATTCTAATTTTGTCTCCAATAGAAAACTTTGGTTTACCAGGTTTCAAGTAAATCGAATCACCATACAAATTAGACCAAACTTTACTTTCATTGGTCTTTTTACTAGCTTCAACAGGAGACATTTTTACACTGGAATGTCCATTATTATTGTAATCATTAACTAGTTTATTTATCTTGTCCCAGTAAACAGTGTTGTTATTCATAGTAAACATCTTCCACATTCTGTTTTTCATTGTTTTATTCCATCTCTCAACAACACTAGATTTTTCTTCATTTTCAGTGTGATACAGTTTAATTCCCTCTCTTTTCAGAAACTCTTTGAAATGTTTACTGATAAACTCAAAACCTTTATCTGTCCATAGCATCCTTGGTTTACGTTTACTTTTAAATATATCATCAAATGCTTTACTAACAGTTTCAGTTTTCTTATCTTTTAATCCCCTAATCCAACCATACTTGCTAAACACATCAATAACCATTAGAAGATATTTAATACCTTTATTCCATTTACTAAACTTTTGCATTTCTACTAAATCAGCAGCCCTGAGATATCATCAATTCCGTTTGAGACTACTGATCTCTTTTGAAAGTTTCTTGCGATTGGTTTGTGAAGTTCGTCGGCTAATTGTTGAGACCAATCACTACTCAACGCCACTTTACGTTTTTTGATCCTGTAACAGCCGTCAATTCGATGTCAATTCCACGTTTTATTCGATCCGATCAACTACGCTCAGCACACCGTTCGAATACAGTACCGTACAAGAAATCCTTACAAACAACCGTCTCTATCCGTAACCTTGAAACTGCTAAAATATCCGTAATGCTTCCGTAATGTTCTATTCCTTCGATGTGAGTCTAGTTAAACGATCCTTATCCGAGAAATAAAGGCGAAAATAACAAGCGATAAAAGCACATGTATGCCGAGGTTTGACCTAGTGTCGAATGACAACACCTCGGCGCAGACTGGGCCTAGTGCACAGAACACTTAGCATTTACAGATCCCATTCCAAGTTTTTGTTTAGTATTAATTAATGTTGTAGCCAAAGAATTTCCCCATTGTCTTTCTTTCCAAGGAATTGCATCTAATGATTTTACCATTTTTCTATCAGCTTTATTTTTACACCTCACCTGTTCACTTTTTGGTTTATTTCCACAAACACAATGATCAACATCATGTTGCATGGACACAGCATCAGTTGACCCAGTTGGTTGATCATAAATTTCTAATATTTCACCAGTTTCTGGATTGTAACTGACTTGATTTTCAAGGTCGTTGTAGGGACCTGTATATTTATGCCCTGGTAAAGTCCATCCTGCTTTTGGTTTTGGGAGTTTACCAATCCATTTATGAACATCAATTCCTTTTCCATCCAATTCTGGTCTATCAGTTTTATATTTCTTTTCTGGTCTCACTTTTGTTGATAGTTCATCCATTGCTGTTCCAACAGAATCTTGAATAAATGGAGTGAGTTTACTAATCCCATAATTAATAGCTTTCTTTTGAAGATTTTTATTTCTTATTAACTCGCTTGCTCCATATCGTCCCATATCAACTGCTTTTTTACCCATCCAAGGTAAACCATAATGAACAAATCCATCAACTGCTGTGCCAACAACAGTATCAAAAACGCCCGCCCCTTCAGACGGGCTTACTAGTTTTTTGATTTTCGTTTTCTCTTTTTTCCACTTCCAGTCATTGAAACTGATCCCGTTTTTACATATCTAACTTTTTTATTTCCACAAACTGCACATCTACAATAGAATTGAGTACGCCCTCTTTTATCTTTTTGGTAACCACTTGGCTCTGTGCAAGGAGTTACTCTTTTATCTACAATACAATATGATTCTTTCATTTAGTATAATACTTAGATAAAATGGGATCGCGATACCAGTTTATAAAAGGGGAACTTGAGAAGATATATGATAAATTAAACACAAGTTATGAATGGGTTAATTATACCACTGCAGTGGAAAATAAGCGGTTTTTAAAAGTATTTAAGATTCTTATGGAGATAAATGAAAAATCAGATACACTTCAAAAAATAATAAGAGGAAATTATTTATTTGTATAACCTATTAATATATGGAACATCTTAGAAAAAAGATATTGAATATTGAAGATTCGTTAGATGAAGCTTATGAGTTAGTGGGTTTTCAATATTTGGACATAGAAGAAAAATATGAAAGAATTGAGGTAGGATTAAATGAAATTGATAAGAAATTAAATGAGATAAAAAAGTTGTTAAGGAAAAGATAATATATACTAATAATAAATGGAGGCTAAATTCTTTTCTGAAATAGAAAAAAAGATGGATGTTAAAACACTAAAAGATTTTGAGAAAGATGTATGAACACAAATAAATAATGAGTTTGAGACTCTTAGAAAGAAAAATGATGATCTTTCTAGAATACTAATGGCTGGTGAATGTGAGATGTGGGGAAAAATCAGAGATGAGGACTATTCTTGGTTCAAAATAAATAGTGATAAAACGAAGAAACTTTTTAGACTTATTAATATTTACTCGAAATTTGATGAAATAGTTGATAGTGTTAAAGATTTAAGTGTAAAAGTTGAGAATGTTAAACAGCTAAAGGATTTACCAGATGATTAAAAAATAATATTTATTAAATATTATTTTTATCCTCCAAAATACTCTTTTATAAAACCACTGTTGTCATTATCAAAATGTGAGTTATGTATTACGTCTAGTCTTAATACTAGTACCTTTTTGTCGCTCAAACAGATAATATAAACACCCATAACCACAGAGAACAGTACTGCGATTTTGTATTTCATCCATTGAGTAAACTATGCGTTTTCCAGAAGTATGAAAATACACCAGTACTTCATTTGGCATTATCAAACCAAACGGATCGAAGTACTCAACCACTGAATCTACATTTCTATAACAAACCTAGTGTGTTCCCTCACCTTGAGTATCATCTAGATTGATTATTCCGCATTCTTTTCTTATCCTATTTGGTAGTCCATCACGACTGTAAATACCTCTTAAATGCTTAATACCAAGTCTTTTTACCCAATCCATGAGGTCAAAGTTGGATAGAGGTTTAATTACAAAATGGCCCCTATTAATGGAATTGAGTTGAATGGGCTGTTTTTTCCTAGAAGAAGTCCTTTGCCCTTGGACGGCCTGCCTGCCATTCCAATTGGGTTTTCCCATGTACCTAAAAAGGGTGGTGGTGAGTGATAAGGATAACCTTCACCATGTGTGGGTGGAGGAGGATGTGGAACGTAAACATTCGCTGTATTAGATGATGATTGTCAACTTGAAGCCCAGAGCCAAACATCTTAGATACTAAACTAATTGCCATTGGAATTCCAATAGATGCAAGAGTTCCAAGAAATCCTCCTTCTATCTGCCTACGAGTTGGTTTTATAACCAATCGACCACCTGTTTGATAAGCTTTGTTAATTTGATTTATTTGTGATTCGGTAAATTCTCTTACAAGAGGTGGTAACATTGGGAAAAACTCTGGGGGAATTGTGATTCCTTTTCCAAATATTTTATTTATTCCAAGTTCTCCAAGTGCAGTAGCAGCACCAGTAGCTAAAGCAGGAACAGCTTTTGAAATTCCTTTTATTGCATATAGTAGTACTTTTGCTCCAAGAGATGCGAGTGAAGTAAATAAGTTTCCACTATGTTTTACAGATTTTCTAATCTGAGTTTTACTTATCTTTATATCACTTCCTGTGCCATCTCTCAGTGATTTTTTTATTTTAGCAATTTGTCTTTTTGTTAGCATTAACTCATCAAGACCTCGAAGATGTGAATGTTTTAACCGAAGAGTTAGTGGTGATTTATTTAATATTGCAGAAGCCAGTTTTGACTTTTGATTGGGTGTAAGTTTTACACCATAATTCAATAATTCAAGTTGTCATTTTATTAAAGTGTTTATATTAAATTTTTTGTGCTGGATTTAAAAGTATAGCCAATGTTGTAAAATAATATTCAATAATTTATTTTATTTGGTTTCTAGATAATTGATAATAATTATTATTTTCATAATAAACTGGTAATTTTCCTTTGTTACTTAAAACTAGTGATCTAATAATCCAAGTTAAACCAACTGCTGCTTCTAAAGTTTGTTTACTTATTTTTTCTTTTAAATTTTTTGTTAGTCTTAGGCCAAGAATATCTTTTGTAAGTGGGTAATTAATTTCATTTAATAAGGCGTCTAGTACTTCATTTTCTATTTTCTTAAAACTTTGTTTCTGGGTGTAATTTTTATATGAATCTTTGGTAAAATCTAATAAATGTTTTTTCATTAATTCATCTATTTTGCTTACAGGATCTGGTTTTGTTTTGCTTGTGGGAATAAGATCTGGTTTTGTTTTGCTTGTGGGAGGATTAGTATTTTCAGCAAAATTTATTAAGTTTTTCATTTCAATTGCTAGAGGGGTATCAATTCCTTTTATTTTTGGTGGAGGAGGAAGAACTTCATATTTAGAATAATAATAAATATCTCTATTTAATAGTATAGTTGCAAAACATGTTTTATGAAATTGGGTGTTACTCATAACTAATTCAAATTCATTTTTGTTATTTTCCCATGCTTCATAAAAAATTTTTTGATTTTTTGTTAGAAAAAGAATAAATGGAAATAGTTTTAACCTACTTATAGGTTTAAAATTTATAATAAAATCA